AAAATCCTAGCATTTTGGGAGAATGAGGCATAAGGATTCCTTGAGCTCAGGAGTTCAAGACCAGCCTGAGCAAAAGCAAGACTCTATCTCTATTAAAAATAGAAAAAATTTAGCTGGGCATAGTGGCAGGTGCCTGCAGTCCCAGCTACTTGGGAGGCTAAGGCACAAGGATTTCACCCACCCAGGAGTTTGAGGGTGCTGTGAGCTAGGCTAATACTGTTGTACTCTAGCCGAGGCAACAGAGTGAGACTCTGTCTAAAAAACAAAGAAAGAAAAATGACACTGGTAACCATAATCCATTATACTTTGCCCCTCTAGATCTACTTTCTATCCCACTCTGTGAACTAGTACAGACAGGCTAATGGTTAGGTTCAGCCACCTGCAGAGATTAGGAGCTCAGAGAAGAATGGGGTTGGAGTACTTATCCCCTAGGCCCCCTCCCTAGTAGGCCTCAGGTGGACAGTGACTACTTTCCTCCACCCAAGGCAACAGCTCTTGCCAGAGGCCCCCTCCCCTATAGGCCTCAGGGTGTTAACAGACCCAGGCTCCCACTATGGGTACCCTACAGCCTCCCTGCATCTTTGCATATCCCTTCATTAAACTCTCTTGGATTACCACATGTAAGTGAGCACTGGATTCCTGAAAAGACCCTGACCAACACAACAACCACAATCATCACCATCTTCGTCATCATCCCAGGATTTCCCTCAGGAAAAGAGAACTGTAGACAAGACTTTGACTCTACTCCCTTAACACCATTCCAGGTGGTCTGCCAAGGCAAAACTGGGCCGGAATATAGAAGGGCATCCGACCAGCCAGGCATTAGACCAAAAGCACCTCCCCCTAACCCTGGGGACAAGGAAAAGTACCTTCCCCAGAAGGAGGCAAGCCTAGCTCTAAAAGACTACTGGGGGGGGGAGGGAGCTTCCCACACACACACCCACAGCCCAGCACTTTTTCTCAACAGGAAGCAGCAGCCCAGGGAACAGTCCCTGGTTCAGTTTCCACAATGTTGGCAAAGCCAATGGCCCTACGCTGTGGTGGCAGGTCTGGGTTCCAAATACAGCTGCCCTCCCCTCTCCCCCTTCCACAACAGTCTCGCAGGGAGCAGTCAAGCTTTCCAGGGTCACTTCTATTTTAAAACACCCTGGAAGCTGGGCCACTACCAGCACAGCCTTCCAGGAGGCTCAGGAGCATGTATCTGATGAGGGGCAGCCTGCCCACCCACCCATCAAGGGGAGATGGCCTGGGCTGGCAGCCAGCATGCCAAAGGCTCAGTCCCAGGCACACTAGGGCTCCTGCTGACCCCAGGCACCTGATGTTCCTCAGCCTGGCTGCCTGGCTTGGCCCAATGGAGTTAACACAGTCTTGAGCAGGTAGTGTTGGAAGTCAAGCAGACTCGAGTTCCAACCCTACCCTTGGACAAGTCACAACCTCTTTGTACCTCATTTTTCTTCAGCTCTAATAATGGGAAAGAGCACCCAGAAGGGCATAACTATGAGTACTGAATTAGTTCATTCATACAAAACACTTAGTACAGTGGCTGGTACAAGGCAAGCACAGAACAAACACAGCTAGTATTTTATTACAGGTTTTCATTTTGTATATTTCTTATTATAATAATGGTTGATAAGCATGTTGCCAAAAGGTCACCCTGAACCACAGGGTCCAGAGTCCTCCCCGCCCCCATACATAATGAGGTACTGCTTAGCTGAATATTGTCCAGCCAGGTCCTGAACAAACATCTCCAACCTCATCCCAGGGAAAGCTGACCCTTGTAATAGACAATCAGCACCACTGTCCTTGCAACAATTAGGGATGACTCCACTAACCACTGTCTCCTGACAGCTGGCCTACACGCAGCCATGCACAAGCATACTCTGATCGGTGTGAAAGAACGGTCTTTCCCACCTGATCAGCAATTTCTACGTTTCACAGGCATACACATCTATTAGCTCTGTGCCCTTGGAGTTGCCAGTGCAGCATGAGAGCACCAGCAGTGCAACCAGCCAGGCCAGGCCTTGAACCCCAATCCACTCCTGCCAGGTTGCTAACTCACCTCACCTCTCCTCCAGAATAGAGTGGTAGTAGACTCAATGCCACAGAACATACTTCAAACCGCAGGAGGGTCCTGAACAAGTTAATGACTGTGACGATGACAACCACACTTGTATAGTAGAGAAACTGAGGCATAAACAAAGCGATTTGACCGATACTAGATAAACCTGCAGTTTCTGTCAGGCCTGCATTACGGACCCAAGCACAGTTCTGGGTAAAGAGCTTAGAGTCCCACTTGTCCTGACCCCTATGTAAGGAGTAAAATGGACGGCTCAGCGCCTATAGCTCAACCAGCTAAGGCGCCAGCCACGTACACCTAAGGTGGCGGGTTCGAATCCCCAGCCCGGACCTGCCAAACAACAATGACGGCTGCAACCAAAAAATAGCCGGGCGTTGTGGCGGGCGCCTGTGGTCCCAGCTACTTGGGAGGCGGAGGCAGGAGACTCGCTTGAGCCCAGGAGTTGGAGGTTGCTGTGAGCTGTAATGCCACGGCACTCTACCCAGGGGGACAGCTTGAGGCTCTGTCTCAAAAAAAAAAAAAAAAAAGGAGTAAAATGGACAAATGTGCCCAGGCCTAGCTGAGGATCCCACTGGTCACATCTTCTCAGTGGCTACCCCCAGGCCTCAGCTGGCCTTCGGTCACACATGTGCCTCTACCACCAAAAACATGATGCCATCAAGGGCAAAGGCTTCAATGTATCAGAAGCATCTTACTGGCAAAGATGGGAGGTGAATGCCCTTCATCACCACCTGCTTAGAGTTCACTGTTAATATCCATCTAGTTTTCAGCAAGGCCAGAGGCCCACAGATACCTCTCACTGTATGGTCCACCTGAGTCCCAGCCTTCTGTGCTACAAATAATCTGTACCCATAGCTCCATTCTAGAAAGAAGAAATAAAACTAAATAATCAACTGTGTGCTATCTCCACTTCCTGAGCCAGGCACTTATTTAGGACAACTCCAGCACTAGCCATGGACCCACCCACCAACAGAGAAAGATGGGCACAGGCCCAGTGCCTTCTATAGAATCCTATTCACCCAAGTCATCCTCCCTTCAAGCCCAGAAACACCAGTTCAACAAGTTCCCCCATGGAACTTGGGAAACCACAGAATGGAGATAATGTGTTAAAGCAGGTATTTCAAATTAGAAAACGGCTTTTGCCTCTCACTGCTCTAGGGCTATATATACTGTTATAGATCTTTAAATATTTGTGACTCTACTAGGCAATGGTATTTTCTGGAAGTGAGATGTCTGTGACCCTCTAAACAATGTCCAAGATTGAGGGACTAGGGTCTGGGCTTGCAGCCCCTAAATATGCCCATTCGATAATTCCACCATATCTAATGATCACCTACTATGTGCTACATACTAACCCTGTCAATAAGGGTAGACACAAAGAGTGCACTTATCCCCACAGATCCTTCTCAAGCACCTAATGTGTGCCAGGCGGAACCATCCCAGACACAGAAGACAGAGCTACACAGGGCGTAAGTCTGGCCCCTTAGGAGCTCAGGCAGTCCAGAGCTGGGGTGGAGAGATTGACAGCTGGCCCTGGATAGTCTGCCCTGGCCTTGCCAACAACATAACATTAGGAGAGGGAAAAGGAACTCTTTGCTTTACCTCCTCTGGAGATGGGTGGCTGGTCAAGGGGATAGGGTCCTCAAGTAGAACAAGCCTAGGCTAGGCCCAGATCTGACCCCACATTCAAGGTCTGCACATGCAAACTGCTCTGGCCTGACCTTATCAATTCTGTAAACTTACTAGAATTTTCATGAATCATCTTGAAAGTTACTCAATACTTGGTATTCAAATGCTTGTTAATAATAGGGCAATAATAATGTTTAAAATAACAGGAGCTACATTTATTAAACCCTTTCCAGAATACCACGTGGAGCAAAATGGTTTACAGGGGATGGACTCTATCCTCCAAAAAAAGCCCCAAGGGTAAGTGTCAGAGTTTCTACGTGGGCCTTCTCCATACTGGCACCGTTCTCATGACTTCCTGTTAATCAGTTCATTTTAATTCTTCCCAAACCCAACAAAGGAGAGGTGTAATTGTTCCCATTCTGCAGATGACAAAGCTGAGGTCTGGCATCCCTCTTGCTGTGTGACCTTGGACAAATCACTAGAACTTCGGGCCTCAAATCCAATAAGGGGCTCCAAACCAGTTCCCTGAATACACTGCCGCATCTAGTGAATGAATGAGCGACTGAACAAAAAATGCCCCCTAAAGCCAAGGAGGCCATATCGTTCCCCTAAGGGCCTCCTTTCCCCGAGGTTAACCTCCCGCCCAGGCCCAAGCTCGGCCCCCGCGGCCTAAGTCCACTTTGGGCCACCCGTTCCGCCTGAGAAGGCGCCGGCACGCGCGAGTGGTGCTGGGCATCGACTTCTCCAGGCATGGGCCGGCCAGGGCGCGTGGGGCCGGGGACACGAGGCCACGGTCGTCACCTGAGCTCATCGCCGCGACAGCAGCATGGCCTGCACAGGCCTGCGGGTCCAGCACGGCTTGGCCAGCGTGGGCGGCCGACAGGTTCCTGCCGGACGAGCGCCGGTGGGATCAAGGGCCAGAGGGCGCCGCTAGGGAAGGTCACCTAGATCCGCAGCCGGCCGGGCCTCCACGCGGCAGCCCGTGCCCTTCCGCTCGCAAGTCCGGACGGCCTCTCGCCCCTCAGCCTCAGGCGCCTCTAGACCCTCCGGCCCCCGCTCCTCCCTCCTCCGCTCCGCACACACCCGTACGGCCTTCTTCGCCCGCAGCTCAGAGGCCAGGCCTGAGCCGTCCCCGGAGCCCTGCTCCTGCTCGGTCCCCGGAGCCCTGCTCCAGGGCCCTTAGCCCTCGCCCGCTGCTTCCCTCTCCCCTCCAGTCCTCCCTCTCAACTCCCCGGGGGCCCGGCCCGCGGCCCGGGGCGCGGGCGGAGCTCCGGCCCTGTTCCGCTGCGCCTACCTCAGAGGCGGTGGCAACGATCTCCGCGGTGGCTACGGCGGGGGCTGCAGCGCTAAGGAACCGAGAGGGGCGACCAGCGGGGCCAAGGGCGGGGCGGGGCGGAACGGACGGCGGCGGCGCGGACCCGCCCCCCCTGCGCGCTCAGCCGGGTGAGCTCCGCCCCTAGGCACCGCCCGGGACAGCGCCCAGGCCCGGCCCGGGTCCCCATCCAGCCCGCGAGCCGTGCTCTTACCCTCTCGGCCCCTCAGCGCCCACGGCCGACGCGTGAGCCTGCTGCAGGCATGTGCTGGTGCGCGTAAGGGTCTGCGTGCGCCCGGGCACGGGGCGACGGGGAGGCGTGGGACTGACGTGTGCACTGTGTGTGCGTGCGCAGGGACACGCGGGTCCTTGCTGGAAACCTCCGAGCTGATGGAAGCTTTCAGGAAGGGGGAGGTAGCCTTCCGTTTAGCTGAATCCTGACCTGGAGGTTCTGGCGCTTATAGAAGGCGCGGGGGCTCCGGAGCCTTCTTCTCTGCCTCGGTGCTGTGGGACACACACCCTCACCTCCCCTTGGAACTGATGTGGCAGGTGGCGCTGTAATCAGGCCTAGCCAAGTGGCCTCCGAGTTCCCGCGTGAAAACTCGCCCGGGCCTCGAACCCCAGAGGGCAGTCCCAGTCCCAGCGCGGGCGCGGGACGCCGGGGATGGCGCAAATACACAGAAGCTGCAGCGAGTGGGCTCGGTGCCCTGGACACAAGGTTTTCATCGCCTCCTATCAGTCCCCGCACTCTGGTTGGAAAAATCGTGGGAGAAAACACCCTATGCGCTGAGTTTGCAGACAATTTTTCCTGTAGCAAACCTGCCAGTAGTCATTTAGCGACCATTCTGAGAAGTTAACAAAAAGGAAATTTGATTTTGTGAGACCACTATTGATTGGGGCAGGAAGTCACGCCGGTTCGAGCTAGCCAGCCGGGGCCTGCTTTCCTTTGAGTTTGATTAATGAGTTAATCGTCAACTTCTCTGCATTAAGCCTAAAGCCTAAACGGGTGATTTCGTTCACCACTGAGTGTCCCCCAGCGTCCCGCGCAAGGCCTATCGGTAGTAGGCTTCGAGACACTAGGAATACGGAGATAGATGAAGATTCTGCACACTCTTAGTCTTTGACCAACAAACGTCCTCAAAGTCTGGAGGCACCTAAGGCCCCGTGGAGGAGGGGCCGGACTACAGAATCAGGACACTGGCTCACAGCCATCTGTGACATAAGCTAAAGCAGTAGGCAACTGGGGCGTTGTAGGAGGAGGCAATCGGGACAGGCTGCTGGAAGGAGGCGGCAGATTAAATGGGAAAGTGCCGACTCAAGTTAGAAATGATGTTTCATTGGGGTAGGGTGTTAAAGTAAAAAGGGAGCTGCTGGGGGGGCAAGGTGCTGACCAGGTGCTCTATGTGGGCAGGGGGCACTCATATCTGACTGAGAAGGTGAGGAAGAGCCCCCTTTAAGATCCTAGGGAATGGAAGACAGATATTATGACCCTCCCAGGCTCAAGAGTTGCCCCTTTACAACGGAGGACTATGGGCTTCCCAACCTGGCTGTCCCTTACCCACACACAAAAGCCCAGCCCGTTCCCACAGACTGGTGAGCAGGGTATAGAGGCAGAGATGTCAGGGAGGTGGTAGACGGGGCTCCAGGAACCCCGAGTAGTAGCTGATGCCGTGCCCCTGGGCTAGTGTGGGCCAACAGCAAGGCCAGGGGCAAATGCAAGGCTAAATCCACTCAAGCACCAACCTCCCAACTCTCCTTTCAGGAACCTCAAGCTGGTGGGAGTCCTCCATGTCCTCCCTACCACTGGCCCCGCTGGCCAACTCCCCTAGGTGTCAGTTTCAGTTTTATAACTGAGTGCCCTCTGAGCCACTTACTGCTGTGACTCTGGGCAAGAAGTCTCTGGCCTCTCAGCCTCAGCTTCAGACTGTTGGTGTAAATTTAAAAGGGTAAGAACTCGGCTTGGTGCCTGTAGCTCAGCGGCTAGGGTGCCAGCCACATACACCGGAGCTGGCAGGTTCTAATCCAGCCGGGGCCTGCCAAGCAACACTACAACAATGACAACTACAACCAGCTTGTTCCAGAGGCTGAGGCAGGAGAATCGCCTAAGCCCAAGAGTTAGAGGTTGCTGTGAGCTATAATATCATGGCACTCTACCGAGGGCAAGAAAGTGAGACTCTGTCTCTTAAAAAAAAAAAAAAAAAGTAGCCTGGCATTCTGGCAGGTGCCTGTCATCCAGTTGTCTGGGAGACTGAGGCAAGAGAATCACTTAAGCCCAAAAGTTTGAGGTTGCTGTGAGCTGTGATGCCACTGCACTCTACCGAGGGCAACATAGTGAGACTCTGTCTCAAAAAAAAAAAAAAAAGAAAAGAAAGGTAAACACTCAATAAACGCTGAAGAAAATCAGCTGAGACTGGCAGAGGACTTGCAAGCCCTTGGGCTGGGATCTCATCCTAGGATAACTTCGCCCTGCCCTGCCCTGCCCTGCCACAGCTCCCAGGTACAGGGAAGGGGAGACAGCTTCCACCCGCCCCTCCGGGCTTGCCACTGCCGCCCTCAGCCCCTCCCCAACTTGGTCCCCATGGTTGATTGGGCTGGAGCTGGGCACCTGACACGAGCCAGGCCAATCAGATCCTCTCTTGCAAATTTGACCTAAGAAACCCGGAGTCTTGGTGAGGAGAGCTTCCAAGTCCCTCAGGTATGCCTGGGTCTCACCTCCTTGTTGTCCTTGAGAAGCTAAGGAGGTCATTGCACAGAGCAGAAGATAGAGCAGTCCTGCAGACAGCTGTGGCTGTGGGCCTGTTTCCTGGGCAGCCCTTGTCCCTCCTATGCTTGGGTTTCCCTGTGCCACTTCAGTGACCCTGCTTGAGCTTGACCTAGCAGGAGTGATCTGCTAAGAAAGACCCTCAAGTCATGGTGGGTGGGAGAAGGGGTTTTGTGGGAAAAAGACAATCTTAACTGCAGTTTTGATTTGGTTTGAAGAGGGTTGGTTTGGGGGTTTTTTGAGGGGGGGGCAGTTTGCAGGAATGACCATTCTTGCCCTCCTCTCAGACCACAATCTTTGATGGCACTGTCTCCATCCCTGACTCCAGGGCTGGTCTTGGGGTGGCCATGTGGACCAGCCTGACCAACTACACTGTACTCTCCACTATCAGGATGGATCAGTAAGACTGGGTGAGATTTCCTGGGGCTGATGAAATGAAAACTGTCTGTAAAGATGAAGTCAGCCCAGGGAGAAGACCAGACATCAGCTCCTGGGGACATGCTCCTGGATTTGGACATGCCTGAGCCTACCCCCTGTGCTTTCCAGCTGTCTGAACCAATAGGTTCCCTTTCATCTAGTCCATTTTGGATTGGGTTTTCTTCTAGATCCTAACTCAGTTTCCCTCCTCTCTTCAAGCAGAACAATGTAAAACATCCAGATAAGTTTTTTTTTCCCTCTATTTTTAATATTGGAATGGGTTACCAATATAAGATGATTTCATTTTAGGGAAATTTTTCCTTATATCTAACTTACAGCCATAAGGTTTCTACTGTAGATACTTATCAAGATGGAAATCGTCCAATCACCTTCCAAGAACATAGGCTAAAACACTCCCACCCTTCTCTTTCCAGGCCCAGATATCCCTGGACTTCAATGTGATTTTTTTAGCATTGTTTATGCCAGTACCAGAGTTGAAGATGAAGTCCAGGAAGGTAGAAATGGTAGTAATTTATAAATTAATTTTTTTTGAGACAGGATCTCACTCAGTCACCCACACTGGAGTGCAATAGCATCATCAGCCCACTGCAACCTCAAATTTTGGGGCTCGAGCAATCCTTCTGCCTCAGCCTCCCAAGCAGCTGGGACTGCAGGCACATACCACCATACCCAGCAATAACTTTATTATTAAATAAAAAAGAACGTTTTTTGGCTCCACACCTGTAGCTCAAGTAGCTAGGGCACCAGCCACATACACCAGAGCTAGCAGGTTGGAATCCAGCCCCAGCCCACCAAACAACAGCAACAAAAAATGGCAACTGCAACAAAAAATAGCCGGGTGTTCTGGTGGGTGCTACTTGGGAAGCTGAGGCAAGAGAATCACTTAAGCCCAAGAGTTTGAGGTTAATGTGAGCTGTGATGCCACGGCACTCTACCCAGAGTGACAGCTTGAGACTCTGTCTCAAATAAATAAATAAATAAAAGAACTTTTCATTTTAAAAAAGCCAAATGAGGCTCCGCGCCTGTGGTTCAAGTGGCTAAGGCTCCAGCCACATACACCTAAGGTGGCGGGTTCGAATCCAGCCCGGGCCCGCCAGACAACAATGATGGCTTTAACCAAAAAATAGCCAAGCATTGTGGTGGGCGCCTGTGGTCCCAGCTACTTGGGAGTCTGAGGTAACAGAATCCCTTAAGCCCAGGAGTTGGAGGTTGCTGTGAGCTGTGATGCCACCGCACTCTACCCAAGGCGACAGCTTGAGGCTCTGTCTCAAAAAAAAAAAAAAAAGCCAAATGAGGCTTATCAGGAGAGGTTGGGTGAAATGATGCAATACTTCTAGAACATAATTAGACTGTAATAAGAATCATAAGGTCCAGCATGCCTCTGAGCTTAGAAGTTTGATACCAGCCTCTGCAAGAATGAGATCCCAACTCTACTAAAAATAGAAAAACTAGCCAAGAGTGGTGGTGTGCACCTGTGGTCCTAACTACTCAGAGGGCTTAGGCAAGAGGATCATTTGAGCTCAGGAGTTTGAAGTTGCCATGAGGTATGACGCTACAGCACTCTACCCAGCGTGACAGGAGTGAGATTCTGTGAGATTCTGGCTTTAAAAAAAAAATAAAAAAAAGCGTGGCTCAAGCAAGCTAAGGTGCCAGCCACATACACCCGAGCTGCCGGGTTCGAATCCAGCCCAGGACTGCCAAACAACAATGACAGCTGCAACCAAAAAAGAAAAAATAGCCGGGCATTGTGGCAGGCGCCTATAGTCCCAGCTACTTGGGAGGCAGAGGCAGGAGAATCGCTTGAGCCCAGGAGGTTGCTGTGAGCTGTGTTGCCACGGCACTCTACCTAGGGCAACAGCTTGAGGCG